CAGTACAAATAAAGCAGACCTAACCTCACCTCACCATTACAGTTTTATACTAAAGGTTCTCGCTGTGATATAAAAGTCTAGTCTAGATTAAAACCATTGTTCAGCCAACGCCCAAAATGACAAAAACTGCACTTCAATCCAAAATTCTGAGACGAGACGGTTTTTGTCTCACTCCTGCTGGGTCGTCTCCGTTTACGCAGGTGTCCAGTGTTATGTCAGACGGCCTAAATCTGGCGTCCCCCTTCAGCGAGCCTGCCATTGTTTACCTCTAATCCCAACACAAACCCTATTTTTAGTTTCATATTTACCTACAACACATTTATTTTTCCTCCTAGATTCAGAACAAAACTCAATTAACTCAAACACGCACTGGGTTCATTAGCCGGCTGTAAACGCTACCCGACGCTGACAGCTTAATCAAGAGGAATTACACGTGCCTGAAAGCTCCCGTGACATTTGAACGCACCGCAGAGGCCGTCGCCGTCCCACTATCTTGTCATGTTGATACAGTGTTTGGCCCTCTGCGCTCACTGTAAGAAAAAAGTAAAAAAAAAAAAAAAGGAAAAGACCATAGCCTAGTTTTGAGTAAGAATACCTCCGAGCTTTAATTACGGACCCGGCTCGTGGCATGAGCTGGCGGCAGGAGCAGGTTTGTGATGGATAATACTGCAAGGACCCATTTGTAGTGATAAACAAGTCTAACAAACAAATAAAAATGGACTTCACGTCGACCTGCTTCTGTAAAATACAACAGACGACTTTTTAATAGTTTAATCTGGCAAAAACGCTCAATCTCGTGTACTTTTTCATTTAATTTAACTTTTATTACTTAATATTTATTGCAATATTTTGTGGAGGCTAACAAAACTATTAATATGTCACTTTTTTCTCTTAAAATGCCATGACGAGACTTAATCCAAAGAACTAAGACTTAAAACTGTTATTTCTTCATGTAGTCTACATTGAAATGGAGCAAAGGATCATGGTCTATGTAGTTCTCTGTCTTTTTTAGCTATTGCTGCACTATAACTCTTCATTTAAGCAAAGAGACTTGTAATTTGATATGTTGTGATGGTCCACGATGTTATTGTGAGAACTTTGACAATCGATTTCATGATATTTTGGTTATTGTTACATCCCTAACTGTTAAAGATGGACTGTGTAACTTTTCTGGTAGTTACTTGGCCACCTGCTTGTCTCTGTAGAGAAATGATTTGTTTGTTTATTATAAAAATGTGAAGTATGACATTAAACATTTATATCTCCATGGAAACAAGCAGGTGACGCTATCAGGCCAAGTCACAAGTCAGATCTGTGAAGAGGAGAACCGTTTATTGGCATATATTTTCAAAGTTTGGGGTTTTTTTTGGTAGTTTTTTGCAATAAATCTTTATCTTTTAAATCTTTTAAATACAAGGTTTACAGAGTTCTGTACAAGCCAAAAAGAACAATACAAAAAGCATGACGAAGGTGAACAAAAACAGACGATGATGCAAACAATCCAATTAATTTTAATAAATAAATAAAAAGAAATAGAATAAAAAATAAATACGGAATAAAATCAAGCTAAAACCAGTTAAATGAAGGCCAATCGATAAAAAAAAAAAGAGTCTTAAGAAATTATTTAAATCAGGGATGTCAAACTCAAATTCACAGAGGGCCAAAATTAAAAACTGGGATTAAGTCGTGGGCCAAACTAAATATTTATTGAAAAATTATAACAGCACCTGCATGTTTTCTCTTCTTTCGAGATATGTAATGTTAAACTTTTTCTTATTAAAGTGTTTAATAATAGTTTTACTTAAACATTGAATCCAGAACAGGCATAATATAAAATAATAACAACATTTTAAATAAATAATGTCTCTGTAGTCTATATTTGATATGAGTTTGACGTGTCTGATTTAAAAGATGATACTGATGCTGAATAAAACACTTGTAACTGAATATACACAGGATCAATATGTTTAATGCCACACTTTGGAACATTACAGCAAAGCAAATGATTGATCCACCTCTAGAAAAATTACATATTTCAGCATTTAAAGTAATTGTAATAGTGTCATAAATGCGTATTAATTGTTTTATATATGTTTACAACCAACAATTTGGGAATTAATTCTCGCTTAACCATAAAATTCTCTCGTAATAAACGCAAATTTGCAACTTCATTCCCAATTCTTAACAATACCATTAAAGGTTATCAAATTCAAATCTCCTGAATGAAAGCTCGCTCTGAATATTGAAGACGTCCTGAAGTCGCTTTCATCGCCGAGCTATTTTTGAGCGGCTCGGACGGACGCACTAATGATCTGAAGATGTAATTGGTTTGCAAATGGACACGGTCATTCAGAATAGCTGTAATAACACTCTGCATCACAGCGGGAGTCCGGGGATCTATCCATCAAACGCTCCTCGCTGAAGGCCCATGTACGGACGCTCTGTAAGGGAGGGGGGTTAGACTCGAGCTTAAATGTGAATAGGCCCAGATTACACTATTTTCTGATCTATGTTCAAATGTTTCCTCGTCGTAAACAGACCCGGAGTTGTGTTTTGTTCGTCTTTTTCTCCATTCTGCGTGAGTCGTGTGGTCCTCTGTGTCTTATTTACTTCTGTTTTATTATTTTTATGGTTTTGCTTTTATTTGATTTTACCGGTTTTATTGTTTTAGGACTCGTACGACCAAATTTTAGCAATTTATTTTTGCTTTATGATCTCTGTGCAGCACTTTGGAAACTGATTTGTTTGTAAAATGTGCTGTAGAAATAAAGTGGATCTGGATTTGCTCTTCCTTCATACTGAAAACGCTCTGTTCCACCTTGTGATGTCATGTGGTGATACAGGAAGTGCTTCACTGTGTTTATAAACTCTATACATGTTCACTAGAATCAGTTGGATGATTTCAGCCCAGGAATTGTTGATCTCTACTGAATTAAAGGTAAAAGGAGCTGTTAACTTGGAAAAAAAGTACCGCTTCTTGACATCACAAGGTGGAACAGAACATTTTGAGCTTGAGATGTAGACAAACTAGTAATAAAGAGTTACTCAAAACATGTGTGAATGAAACAAACACAACTCCAGGTTTGTTTTTGGGGATGGTCCAAAGCAAAAAAAATTATCTGGCGAAGTCTTTTTTTCCAAAACATTATTTAAAAATAAAAAAAAACCTTTTGGACATCGGCCTCTGAGTGTACGATGCATTTCTTCACTTTTATTTTACTGTTCCTTAAATTTGCACTTCTACAAGAACAATCCGTGTATGATTCATTTTTCTAAATAAAACCAACAATAAGAAAACGAAAAAACAGTTTTCTTCCTTATTTGTCTCCAAAATCAAAATGAAAAAATGGATAGCAAATCGTTTTTTCAGTTTTCGATTTTGTGTTTAAATGAAAAATGGTTTCCCGTTTCCGTGATTTAAACTGCGATGCCGGACTTTTGTGCCACATACAGACTGAACCAGGATTGAATGAGGACTAAACCAGGACTAAACCAGGACTAAACCAAGACTAAACCAGGACTGAATCAGGACTAAACCAGGACTGAATCAGGACTGAGTCAGGACTGAATCGGGACTAAACCAGGACTGAGTCAGGACTAAACCAGGACTAAACCAAGACTAAACCAGGACTAAACCAGGACTACAGTAGGACTAAACCAGGACTAAACCAGGACTAAACCAGGACTAAACCAGGACTAAACCAGGACTAAACCAGGACTAAACCAGGACTAAACCAGGACTAAAGCAGGACTAAACCAGGACTAAACAGTTTTCAGTCCTAGTCTGGTCCCGGCCTCATTCTCAGTCTCATTCACATCTCAGTCCTGGTCCTGGTCCCAGTCTCAGTCCTGGTCCTGGTCCCGGTCTGGTCCCAGTCTAAGTTCTGGTCCATTTTTTCCCATTATTCATTTAAACACAAAATCAAAAACTGAAAAAACAAATCGTTATCCACTTTTTCATTTTGGTTTTGGACACAAGTAATGAAGATTTTTCATTTTCTTATTTGTGGTTTTATTTTGAAAAACAAATGAATGAATGACACTCGAATTAAGAACCTTGGTGTGCGTTTTCTGTTTCATTTGATGTTTTTGAGGAGGGAACGACATTATAACACGACTTAAAGCTCACGAGAGTCAATTTAATGTATTATAGAACCTTTAATCTATCTTTATTTGATAATTTCCCTAACCATACAGTTGTACACCGTTTTTTTTTTTCTACTGAGAAGTATGTGTAAATGTTTTCCAAGAGGTTTCGGGGGAAGTGCGTTAACGGTCGACTAAACAAGTACAAATTTGTCATGCGTTATATATAGAACATGTTTATATTAGTCCAGACTACAGGGTTAGTGGGTTTTATACAGAACAAGATAAAATTTTATATAATCATAAAATATTTAGTTGTTTACAGAGGATTTCTTACAATTGTTAATCTAAATATGTGTTTGTTGAAAATGTGACTGCAATTAGTTTGAAGTCTCTTGCTTTTGGATCTAAAACAAAACCAAGCGAACTGTTTTTGTTAACATTATTGTGACCACGAAATTCTGTTTTGCTCTAAAAGTTGTGAAAACCGCAGACAACTTCATCACGGTGAATAATTGGGACACTAGAAATGCGTTAAGCTCTATTTCCTGATTATCGGAGAAAGTGTGGGGTCAAAATGAGATTGCTGTGTGCGATATTTAATAGTAAAACCTTTTTGGCATCTGTGAACCAGAAAGTGAGCTGTTAGCATGTTAGTTCTTGTTCCCACTACCTCAAAAAACTCTCTGGTCTCTGAAAGTTGCTTATATCATCGTTGTGGTGAGTAATTACGCTGTTGGGAAAGCGTTTTAAGAATGTGAGGAATAACTTTGTACCGCTGCAAACCATTTGAAATCAGCTCGTTCTGTTTTTCATGTTTTTCAAGACTGTGTTTAATTAGTTTGTGTAGTTTCAAACCAGAAGATCCGTTTCATCCTCTAACCCCGTCTCCTCTCCTCTCTCTGTGTGTTCAGGATGTGCGCGGCCGCCCGGGGTGCAGCACGGGGACCTGCTGAACCAGACGGAGGCAAACCGCGGCTCCTTCCCCCCAGGGACCCTGCTCTCCTACAGCTGTGAGCCCGGATACAGCGCCGAGGGCCCAGTGAGCATCATCTGCACCAGCCTGGGCACCTGGTCCCACCCACCGCCGCGCTGCGTCCGCAACAACGGTAACGCCGCTTTGAACAGGCGCAGATTAACAATACCTGTAATTATGTAGGTTAGACACTCTCAGACTCATCGCTCCAGAATACAAGTCTCAAAGGCCAAAAAATGCATAATGAAGAAGAAAAAAAAATATATAAGGCTGCGTTCAGACTGCAGCCTGAAATGACCCAAATCCGATTTTTTGGCCTCTGTGTGACCTGTATCTGGTCTTTTAATGACAGTCTGAACGACACAGATCTGATTTTTTCAAATGTGACCCAGGCCACTTGGATATGTGCTCCTGAAACCGATACATATCTGATCTTTTGACATGCGACTTCAGTGTGAACGGTCAAAGTGCATTCATTCGACCTACACGTTATCAACAAGCGACAAACATCACTATTCTGCGCTGAAGTAGGCGAAAATTGTTAATGAACTCCGTGTCACTGAAGAGAAGCACATCACCACTCAGCACTATTGGCTACGTCTCCACATCCACACGTTTCTTTCAACGGACGTCGCTGCTGCTGCCCCACAAAACACCACAGCCAAAAACCTCGTCCTTCTCCTTCTCAATCTCCTCCTTAAAACAAGTAAGTTGTTCATGTTCTGGCTCCGGTACGAGAGGAACTTTAAAATCTCCAGGTGCTCAATGCTCGCGTCCATGTTTGGAAAACTTCCGTAAACACAGAGCACGCTCGCTGCGATTGACGTCATCATGTCCTCCAGTGCACATGCAGGACACTTTTGGGCCGTTTAATGTTCACACTGGAGTCACATACAAGTCGTATTTAATTGGAAATGTGAACGACCTCGCAAAAACATCGGATTTCACAAAAAAATTGGAATTGAGCATTAAGCCCTGCAGTCTGAACGTAGTCTAAGTCACACTGGACTATAAGTCACATTTTTAGAGGGAAATTTATTTTATCAAACATTTCATCTTGAAAGGCAAGTCATAGTAATAACAATAGAATAGAAAACGACAGGCTGAGCAGGCGTCTGGTGTGCTAACATAAAAACATAAAAAAGAAATTGGCCGCAGAGCATTTAACTTCAAAGCTCCAAATGAATGGAACAATTTACCCTCCTCAATCCGATCAATTACATGAATCCACCATTTAAAGGCATCAGCAGGCAGATATTTACAAACATCCTGCTCCTGTTTCCGATAAAAATACATTTTTGTCCTATGTACTTTCTGTTATACATAGAGTTGCTTTTTTTTTTTTTTCTTTACTAATTTACAAATATAGGTGTGGCGATGATAAAATCAGTTAATAAGTTATGACACTAAATGAACATTAGTGAGGGGGGATACGTCTTAATGACCCAGATGCGTTAAATGCAGGTGAGTGCGTAAATGACAAGAAGAAACGTCTCAAACTTCAGTAGCCAGACATCCGCTCATACCTGATCGATACAACTAGCCTAGACCCCGGGAGAGCCTGAAATCTGCTGAAATCCTACAAGACACTGACATGATACAGACAGGACAGAGGCTCTTTGTGCAGGAGACATGCGCAGTAGAGCCAAGTGACAGTGGTACAGGAGCAACAGGAGCAGCAGATATTGACACACAAGACTAGAGCGCCCTCTCGAGTCTGTCAGCGTGAAAATAACGAACATGTGACATTATATATTTTAAGTCGCACCTGAGTATAAGTCACAGGACCACCCAGATCATGAAAATATGCAACTTATAGTCCAAAAAATACGTTATATAAATGGACAACCTGCTATGGAAGTGAGCGTGGGCGCCTTTCCACCTCCATCGGCTCCGGATCCAATTCACTTTGTAAAGAAACAATGTCTCCCCTCCTCATTTTGGTCTTAAAATGTTCATATTAACACGCTGTACATGATCCTGGTGTTTTTATTTCTCTACTGGTTACATCACATTCCCTCAGTCCACGTCTTTCTACAGTCTTTGGTTAGATGCTGGCAAAATAACCCTTACAAAACCCGATAACCTTGGAGCTTTCAACCACGTTATAACGCCCCCGCATCAAAACCGCGCCTGAGGTGATTTTCGATGCCATCCGTGCATGTTTTGAGTAATCGTGCGGTCTCTCCCCGTTTGAACTCTCCTTACAGTTTCGCTTTAATATTCTGAGCAATCGTGAAGTCAGAAGCTTACGTCAGCCATGCTCCTACACGACAATTCTCCATAAATATACAAAACTGTGATACAAAACTGTACACGACGGGGTTTTATTGCAAATCAAATCTTTTAATCTGTCAGAACAAAAGCAGTTGAGCATTTCAAATTGTTCTAGTGTCGTTTTACAATTTATTTTTGTAGTGTTTGTCCCTTAAAAACAAGTTTAGTCAAGGTGCATTGTGTGACTTTTCTGGTGGAGGCTCCGTTAAATCCTTTTTTCCATGGAGATGTTTGTCTGGAACGTTTCACAGTATGGCATTAAACCTTTCTATCTATCTTCATGGAGACTAAACCAGACCAAGTTACAGGTCAGATCTGGGGAAAGGCAACCCTGCTCAGTCAGGCTTCGTTTACAGATACACGGGTATTTTTAAAAACTGACAAATTTCCCTTCATTTGTACTGATCTTTTACACGCAATTAACGAATTCGCCTCTGAAAACGAATCTTTCTAAAAACTCCAGCTAGAGTGGAGATTCTGGAAAAATACGGTTTTGCGTTCACGTTTTTGCTCTGATGATTATGACAGAATTTAAGTAATTTATCTTCCACGTACATCTCAGTTTAACATTGACACACAAAAGCTATATTTACGCCGTGATCTTCCCTTGGCGCACCATTGGCATAACATTATCTAAATTGTGGCATTTTTCTGTCTAACTGGAGTCTACTGGCCTTCAGAGTCTCACCATACTTGCTTTATAAACCTCCTCTGGAAGAAGAGTCAAGGGGCTTGAACACTCAAAGATCACACTATGTTCTCTTTTGAAATCATATTATGTTCACTTTTCAAGTCCGGTCCTGTATTATTGATGGTAAATAAACTTCTGCATAAGTTGGTCTCCAGCCAAAACTTCCACCCTTTCTTGGAAAAGCTGAAAACTACCACAACAATGATGATCATGGAGCATTCAGAGCAGCAGTTTCTTCTGGTGCAGCAGTCGCATTTCTTCTGGTTATTTCTTCATTTGCACACACAGCTGATGTTTTATATCCATGACCAGAGAGCTCAGAGGTCAGCAATTTTACCACTTCTTTAACAGATCTGTGGAGAGGCGAGCCCGCTCAGTAATGCACATTTTTCAAGGTATTTTTGAGTAAAACTGTAATGAAATAAATGCTGCAGATTTGGATCTAATAAGGTGGCACACATAGACTTGGTGTAGTTATGACGGCGTATATGGTGTATTTATGTGGGTTGATGTAAACAAAAACTTTTTTTTAAAAAGGATGCTATGTGCACAGTGTTATTTTGGAAAACGGAGGCGGGGAATATTTGTTTCTCAACATACCCAGACTCAGAATGTCTGTTTTTCTAGGTGTTTTTGAGCTCTAAAACCACCTGTAATTGAATAAATGTAAGGTAGATCTGTTAAATGTCACACTGTGGAACGTTTTAGGTAGAGAAATGACAAATTGCTAGAAGTTACGCAATGCCCCTTTAAGCTCATGACTAATTGACAGTTTTTCTTCCATTATCCTACCTTTAGATACATTTGCGCCCCACACATTTCGCTCCGCTGCCATTAATTCAGACCGTATTTAAAATAATGGACTACAATTGTTCACAATCCTGTTCACATTAAAGCTAAAATGATGTATGTAACCATTAGGAGTGGGCGTGTTTTAAGGAGAACGTTATTAATAAAAGCGTGCGTCTTAATGGCAGCGACAGAGCGTTTAGTTCCATTACTCAGAGCCACTGTCATACGTCTTTGTACGGAGCTCATTACGCCGCCACAGAGCCAGCGCCGGTGTTTGTTTGGGACTGAAATACATCTCACTGTATTCCACTGACAGCCATAAATGTGAATGGGTTTGTCACAGCTCGACACATGTGACACTTGAGTTAATATGCCAGATATTCTTAATTTTTTGGGGCGTTTTTTGTAATTTTCTTATTTATTTTCTTAAGGTGACCCAGTGTAAATCATAGTTACAAATAATCATAATAATCAGCTTCTGGCACTCGGGCCTAATAATCATAATAATCTAAATATGTTTTCAAGTCCTATATATATATATATATATATATATATATATATATATATATATATATATAGTTTTCTTTCTCAGAGTATTTTATTTTACCTACAACTTAAGGCCGCTCGATTCTGGAAAAATTCATTATCACGATTATTTTGGTCGATATTGAAATCACGATTATTCAAGTGATAATATTTTTTTGTTACACGGTCAGCATTTCTCTCTTAAAAAACACTTTATTATTGATCATTTATGCAAAACGTTAAAATTGGAAATAAATACAGGCTACAAATATGAACGTTAGAGCAGTTTTGTGATGTATAAAACATAAAATGAATAAAAAATAATACTTGGAACATGAAATAAGGCATAGAAAAACATAAATGTATTCAAATAAACTATATATCCAGCTGTTCTACAATCTCTACATGTAATAAATAAAATAAATATACTTATTTATGTAAACAATATCCCAAAATAAACTCAAATTCAACTCGATTATATGAGTTTGGAGATCGTTTGACAAGAACTGACAATAAACTTTTTTGAACTTTGAACTTTGATAATCATTTATCACATTTAATATTATAAGTTTAAGTGTCCTTATTTAAAATGACCATATTGTTTTTGTTATCATATTAATTTTGCAGTTTTATTTTGTTAATTTTAATTTCATTATTTTTAATTACTTTATATTATACAGGTATGTAGGCAAAATAAAATATGAAATTTAAGAATTTTCGAAAGTTCCAGCCAATACTTACTAGAAAACATGACAAAATGAAAAAAGAACACATAAACCAGAACAGTAAATAAAATATAAATAAATGAAAGAAATATAAAAATAAAAAATATATATATTCTTAAGATATTACGATGATGGTTGAGGACGTCTTGATTGTACAGCACGTGTTTTGGAGTCTGTGTTTGAGCCGTTGAACTTGAAACACCAAGTTCCTCCTAAGATAAAGTTTGACTCTTTATCGTGCTGGTTTTTCCAGTTGAGCCGGAATCACATTCATTTAAATGGAAAATTTGATAAAAGTTTTGCCACTAAAATATAATATAAAGTAGGTTGAGTTGTATTTGATTTCTAGTGGAATATATGCATAGAAATAACACAACCCAAATGACGATGGTAACACCCGCCCGTGGCAACATCCGGAATAAGCTGAATAAAAGATGACTAAACCAGGTCAATGAAGCTAAACATGGATTAAATAGTTCTGAGTAATTATTTATATAAAGTACAATAACATGAATATTTCTCACAGAAATACTCCAACTGCTGAGGCATCACGTAACACTGATCTAGAGAACGATTTCCCAATAATCAGTGTTGGGCAGGTGACTTTTAAAATGTATTCCCCTACAGATTACAGATTACATACCTCAAAATGTAGTTTGTAACGTAATCCATTAAATTACTTAAAGTGAGTAATGTAATCTGAATACTCTGGATTACTTGATTTGCTGTAGAGAAGCAAAGACAAGGAAATCTTCACATAAGATGTTTTGTCTGATAAAAGAAAATAAAAAGCCCAGACTTTACTTAACCGTATTAAAAATATTATTAATAGAAGACGAGGAAACACGTCCATGCAGCATGGTTTAGTCCTGTTAAATCCTGTTTTAGACCTGGTTTAGACCTAGTTTAGTGTCCGGCAATGAGTGGAATTACAAAAAAAAAAAAAAAAAAAAAAGGGATATAGCCCAAAATGTAAAAACAGGAAAATCCCGCCCTGTAATACATTTATTTCAACCAAGTAACTGTAATCCAATTACCACTCACTGAAACAGTAACTGTAACCGAATACAGTTACTCATAATTTGTACTCTGATTACGTAACTCCAGTACATGTAATCTGTTACTCCCCAACACTGCCAATAATTACATTAAAATTGTAAAAATATTTCTGTAATCTGTGTTTTTCACTGAATCCCTTTAGTTGCTTCAGCCCTCACACCACCAATATTATATTTTTTAATCAGTATTGTGTTATCTGTATCTGTTTCTTTCTGTTTTCTTTCACGTGCAGCACTGAAGTTGTTTTAAACGTGCTACATAAATAAATGTGAACTGAATGTGTCAAAAAGCCACACGAGGAAAAAACGCCTCCTTCTCGCAATATTATAGAAAGTAAAGTACGCGCTGCCGTTCTGACTCCCCGTCCCGTCTCCTCCACAGTGTGTCTGCCTCCCACCGAGCCCGAGAACGGAGGGTACCGCTGCCACCCGTCGCCCTGCCACCGGCTCACCCACAAAACCGTCATCGAGTACTTCTGCGACGAGGGATACGCGCTCAAGGGCGACTACAAGTTCCTCACCTGCCAGAACGGGGAGTGGGACTCGCCCATGCAGGTCAGCTGTCGGCTCACACAAGGTACGTACTCTCTGACGTTTGATGGGAAAATACAACGTGCTTAAAATGAAATTGTTGCGAGAAATGACTCAGAAGCTCCAGATTTAATTTACATTTTAAATTTGAGGGCAAAGGCCAATATTGATGGGTCGAGCAGTGGTTTTGTAAAGAAAGAACACAGCTGAAAATCAACCAAATTAAAATGTCATATCCGTTTTAGTTTTGGGGTCATACCTGATTTGTACGGTCTTAAAAAAACACGAAAAACAGAACTTGTTCATGTTAAACGGTTTGCAGTGCTCCAGAGTTATTCCTCAATTACCTCACGCCAAATCGATTCAATACGGTTCAATAAAAAATAAAGGCTAAATGTTGGCTGTGATACGATAAGTCTGTGTTAAACCACTTCCTGTGCAAAGTGAATATGAAACAAACATTTTAGCACTCAAAAATAGCGAAAATGTCAAATGTGTCGCATAAACTAGTTTCCTTCCACTAAACAAGCAACAAAACTGCAGCTCTGTAACAAAATATTTTAGTAAAATATACAAAAAAAATACATTTCATGACACACTTTGCTCTAATTCATTGTAAAAATTCATGTACAAGGCCTTTACTGTTATGACGCCTCCTGAACCCTGATGTTGGTTTGTCCTTTTTAAAGTCTCGCTTCTCTCTGTGTTTCAGATAAGGAGCCATCCTCTCCTCTGGGGATCCCGGCTCTGTCCATTGTGGCGTCCACGGCCAGTTCTGTGGCTCTCATCCTGCTTTTAGTTGTGCTCTTTGTTCTGGTGCAGCCAAAACTCAAGTCTTTTCACCACAGCAGGTAAAACACTTAACCTGTTCCTGTTCTGTCATTAAAGGCTGGGGTTTCTGTTTCGTGTGGGTAAGTTTGTCCAGCTTATGGACATTGGACGTGTAACAGAGGATCAATCCAGTTATAATAACTTACTAAAGATGGATTGTGTTACAGAACCTCATCACTTTTCAACACTGAGGAAAATCCATAGAGAATCTAGAATGAATTGTGACCACACCTTGAGACGACAATAAAACAGGCCACACTCTGATAAATGTTTGACACGCTGTAATTGAATATCTGATCCACACATAGTTCTAACCTGTAATCATTCTCCAAAGTCAGCTGAGCCTCACCCCAGACTCACATGAGCTCAAACCAGTTCTGTGAGGAAGAATATCTGAGTTTCCTAGAAGTGAAAGTACAAGTGCCGTGACAGGTGGCAGGTGCAAACAGGACAGAGTCTGCGGCTCTGTGGGCTGCTCTGTCTCTGCTCTGCTGAGGTTTTAGAACAGAGTGTGATGAAAGTCCTGATCACAGACTTGATGCTCTCCTCAGAGCTGCGAGTCGTTTAGTGTCACATCCAGCCCCAGGTCTAAGTCTCACTGATGTTGTGTTGTGCAGGAGGGAGCAGGGCGTGTCCGGGCAGTCGGGCTCCATCATGGTGGAGGGCGTCCAGGTGGCTCTGCCCTCGTATGAAGAGGCCGTTTATGGGAACTCGTCAGAAGCTGGTCCTCCCCCCTCTCCCCCGCCCTCCGCTCCAGAGACCCGAGTGCCCATCGTGCTGTCAGAGGGCCCTCCTCAGGGGGCCACCGGGGGCTCAGCCCCACACACAGACTTTGACTACTGCCTCCCCTCCACCTCCTCTTCCTCATACTCCTCCTCGTCCCGCCACAGTCGCAGTCACGCAGAGACTGTGCTGGTGCACCAGGCCCCCTGCTCCTCGTCCTGGGCCAGAGAGCACCCACGGGGCGCCTGTGCCCCCATCCCACTGCGCAGAGACTCTGAGAGCAGTGACCAGCATAGTTTACTGTCTGTCACCTCCACAGACGACTACTCTGACGGTACGCCTCCCTCACACGGCCCACACTGTTCTGTCTGTGCTTCTGTGATCTAACGTGAGCTGTTGTGTTACAGATATTCCTCTGCTGAAGGAAGCATGAGCATGAGTGACTGTGGCTCCTCCCCCTCAGCCTAAAGACTAAAGACTGTACACAGGCCCATTCCCCTGCAGCTCCTCTGCCATCGCTTTAATCAGAGCAACGCCAAACGCCAACACAGCACCGCTGGACCTCCCATGGACCGCCCCACACCTCCTGTATGATACAGACATGAGACAAGATTGTACTTCTCCATTCTTCACTAAAGCTCCTCTGCGGCTCTCCTGGAGCAGGCCATAGCCACTGTCAGGTATCGCTCCGGACTACAGAACGCGTGTGAAGTCCGCCCCCTCGTCGTGTGGCGCTCAGTCCAAATGGTCTTCCCGGTGTACTTGAAACGCTTTGAGTGACAGCTGGGTCTCTCGGCCCTCTATGTGAATGCTGCATGTTTTCTGTTCTGTTCTGTTCCTGTCACAAGGCGGCCCCATCTGAATGAAGCATGACGCCTCCTCTGTCTCTCTCTGTTTCTCCTCTATTTTTCTACCTGTGTGAGTGTGTGAGTGTGTGAGTGTGTGAGTGTGTGTGTGTGTGTGTGTGTGTGTGTGTGTGTGTGTGTGTGTGTGTGTGTGTGTGTGTGTGTGTGTGTGTGTGTGTGTGTGTGTGTGTGTGTGTGTGTGTGTGTGTAAAACTGTGTGTATGGATTATCGAGAACCTCCTAACAGGACGTGACTCATCTCTAAAAAACTCTTCTTTTGGCTTCTGTCGCCATCGCGTTGTTAAGTCGCAGTGGGGTCCATTGATTTCCCCGCGCTCCCTCCTGGCCTCTCCAACCACACGCAGCACCTGTCATTAATAATCCAGCCACCCTTTTGTTGGTTTTCCTTCTGTATTTATTGCTTGTCTGAGATTTCCGAGTGTATGCTACGTGTGTGTATATCTTTTGTGCGGCAGGAGAGGTGAAAGAACAGTTACGCTAGGCCTTGCTACAGCCATTTTACGCATTTTGTTCAGACCCAAGCTCACAATGTCCCATGTTTTTTTCAGCATAGGAAAAAAAAACAACAACCCTCCGAGCGTTAAATAAGTCACATGAACCGCATCTTTGTCTGGACAGGCAATGAATCCCACTACACCACGTGTGTATTACTCATTCAGACACTCAGATAGTCTTATTAGCTGGAGAATACATGCCTCTACACTACTTTTACCCCAACTGCAGCTGGTTGCAGTGAAGAAAATTCCCTCCCCAACGCCAATTGCGAGCAAGAAAGCATAATTATTACAAATTTTAAAGTGGAACTAAACACTATATCGACTTTTTTTGCTACTAAACTATGCGTATGTTGTATTTTCAGTCCTTTTTTTGTCAATTTTCACGCCAAACTACGTCTATTTGCAGCTTTGTGGTCAATTTCAAGTAGTTGTTGACATCACGCAAGACTGCAGAGACGGAGTTTGAGCTTTTCTTTCACTCTTCAGGTACTACCCGGTTTACTAGCTTGATTAAAAATGTAAAAATGTCTTTGTGGGGGAAGTTTTAAGTGTTTAGTCCCACTTTAAAGTATTTATTTTTAATTTCCAGCTTTGCGTTTTGAGCCGGAAATGTTTACTTTCCCCAAAAATCATCTGTTCATCACCGTCACCGAGCTATATATTTGATTAATGTAAAAAAAAATTACAAAAAAACGAGAATGTTGCCTTAGACTTGTACATTTTATTTTATTTTTTTGTGTATTCTCGAAAGCCTTCGCGTCGGCTGTTTTCCCAAAGGCCTTACTTTATTATTATTTCTATTCTATGCATAAAACTGTCTTGTGTATTTATCAATTACTTAGGCTTTTTCGTGGGCTGAAAACACGTCCAAACTTAGTTCTCCACCAACTCGGACAATGGTTCAAAATGGTGACACTTAAACCTATTATCAAGCACCTACCTGTATCTTGTTTCTTTGCTTCTGTTAGGCTGCGAGGCGTTCAAAGATTATGGGAAAAAGAAGAAAGAAAAACTCGGATTGACTTTGCGTTTAAAGCACTGTTGTACGGTGTTGCTTCCCTGGCATTTACAGGTTAAAAAAAGTACACATTTGGTTCAATGCTTTTCACCTTGTTTTTCTCCTCTGTACATGGCAGTGGGTGTGAAAATAGTAATTTAATATTTGTATAAAGTTTAATTTAATTTTACAGTGTGTATATAACTTTCTAATTAAAGCTTTCTTTTGGATGTGAAACGTGTCTCATTCTTACTTTTCTTATTTTATTATGACTTTTTATACTGACAAAACACCAACGGTACAACCTGAACATAACACAAACCATTTGATTTTAGCGAAATTATTGAATATTTCAGATTTGTGTTGTCGATACGATACATACCTCGATACATAGGCCAATTTCGATATAGTGCACTTTTGATCCGATACAGTGTATTTCAGATCAGCTCGATAATGTTGAAAATGTCAAATGTGTCGCATAAATTAGTTTCCTTTCACTAAACAAACAGCAAAACTGTAGTTCTGTAACAAAATAATTTAGTAAAATATACCAAAAAATACTCTTGGTCATGTATCGATACAGCAGCCCGCGATATCGATACTGTATCATCACATTAAACAATACGATATATCAGTTATTTCGATATTTTGGCACATTCCTATTTCAGACATTTAATTGTAAAGGTGGGTAGAGTTGCCAAAATTTATTCAACTAAGTGTATAATTTATGAGTAACAGTCCCAGTCAAGTAAGAGTACAAAGAGTTACTTGCAGTACAGTTACAGTTATATGGAGTATTATTAGGTACATAAAGATGAGTTGTACAGTTGTAGGCGGTATTATTTGTTACATCAGGGTGAGTTGTACAGTTGTAGGGAGTATTATCTGGTTCAAAAGGGTGAGTTGTACAGTTGTAGGGAGTATTATCAGGTACGTAAAGGTGAGTTGTACAGTTGTAGGGAGTATTATCTGTTGCATGAGAGGGAATTGTACAGTTGTAGGGAGTATTATCAGGTACATAAAGGTGAGTCGTTGTATAGTTGTAGGGAGTATTATTTGTTACATAAGGGTGAGTTGTACAGTTGTAGGGAGTATTATTTGGTACATAAAGGTGAGTCATTGTATAATTGTAGGGAGTATTATCTGTTTGCATAAGTGTGAGTTGTACAGTTGTAGGGAGTATTATTTGGTACATAAAGGTGAGTCATTGTATAATTGTAGGGAGTATTATCTGTTGCATAAGTGTGAGTTGTACAGTTGTAGGGAGTATTATTTGGTACATAAAGGTGAGTCATTGTATAATTGTAGGGAGTATTATCTGTTGCATAAGTGTGAGTTGTACAGTTGTAGGGAGTATTATCAGGTACATAAAGGTGATTTGTCAGGGAGTATTATTTGTTACATAAGGGTGAGTTGTACATTTGTAGGGAGTATTATTTGGTACATAAACGTGAGTCATTGGATAATTGTAGGGAGTATTATCTGTTGCATAAGTGTGAGTTGTACAGTTGTAGGGAGTATTATTTGGTACATAAAGGTGAGTCATTGTATAATTGTAGGGAGTATTATCTATTACATAAGGGTGAGTTGTTGCACAGTTGTAGGGAGTATTATCAGGCACGTAAAGGTAAATTGTTGTAGAGTTGTAGGGAGTATTATCTGTTGCGTAAAGGGTGAGATGTACAGTTTTAGGGAATATCATCCGTTAAATGAGGGCGAGTTGTTGTACAGTTGTAGGGAGTATTATCTGTTACATTACAATGATTTATACATCTTTAATATTTAATTTGTACACACTGAGCTAATCGTGGCTGCTTTATTACTGTAAATAAATATTCTTCATAATTTTCTCTTCGTAAAAACATATATTATAATATTTGGGCGACATCTGGTGGCTGAATTACGCGTTGCACCGTCGCGTCGCTGTTACGTCATCTTCGGAGACTCGGCCCCCGAAACCTCCGAAGGCCGCTCGGCTTTTTCCGCCGCCCCTCCCCGAAACCTAACGGCTCCATTTTGTTTCCATTCACTTCTCCGCAGACGGAACAGACGCACGTAGCCCAAGGACTTCGCCAAGCAACACAGCACAACCTGAAGGTACTGTACGCTTTTCGGATCCATTTATTTGTTTATTTTTGCTCTTTAAAAACTGGTTTTATCGGGTAAAGATTAGTGGAGTTTGAGGTGCCAGTTCTTGGAGAGTTCGCCGTGCGTAAACTAGGCCTCACCGCACCACGCGCCTCCTGCCCTAACCTACTTTTGATTCTCGAGATATACCGGAATTGCATGTTAAATATCAGCATGAGATTGAAATATATCACTGATGCATTTGTTTGCTCGCTCCTCACAGACATAAAATGAGTGGATGTCGTATTTTCATCGGTCGCCTGAGCCCCTCGGCCCGAGAGAAGGACGTGGAGAGGTTCTTCAAAGGATACGGCCGCATCCGGGACATAGATCTCAAGAGAGGCTTCGGCTTCGTGGTAAGGACAAAGAAATGGGTCCACCAGAATAGTCTTTAGTTGGACTCTTGTGTAAAATGTCCAGCTGTTCATGGAAATTAAATAAATGCGGAATATCAGTTCGTTTGCATTTCAAGGTTCATTTGTTTTTGTCCTGATGTAGGAGTTTGATGACCCCAGGGACGCTGAAGATGCAGTGTATGAGCTTGATGGCAAAGAACTCTGCAACGAAAGGTAGTCTCTTCGATATATCTGGATTTGTTTGTTTATATTCTCCAATGTGGTGTATTATTTCAACTGTCTTTTTCCTCCAGGGTGACCATTGAGCATGCCCGTGTGCGTCTGCGTGGAGGTCGGGGCAGAGGCAGCAGTACCGGAGGTCGGTTCTCATCAGACCGTTACGGCCGAGGGTCCCAGAGCAGCCGGAGGTTAGTGCCACGTTAGGATTCAACAAAAGTCACAGATGTAACTAGAGTTCTATGAATCCTGGATGATCACCAGAGGACAAGATGGGCCTCCAGTATTTGAGGCCTCTGGTGTTTTTAATTTAAGAGGGGTCATCATACAGTTAATGGCATAAATGAGACTAAACAAAGATACAGGAACTTAAATACAGGAAGTACTATTACAATTTTGTATATAAAAGGTAAACAATTAAAACAAATGCACTCAGGGGAGACGACTGATCAATTTTTTTTTACTTTGGTTTAAAAAATTCAGTTTAATGCAGGGTATTTAAGTATTTAGCATCCAAATTGAGCAGTTTCTCAGCTCTTTTTATTAGTAACCGTCTTAATAGCTGTAAAATGTATCCAGAGGTTCTTGCAGTATGAGTATTAATAGAAAAGATGAATGACAGTTTCTGATTCTGTCTGACAAAAGTCGCAGCTGTAGTCTGTGTTTTAATAAATTAAATTAATCTTTCCATGGTTTTTCTTAGCTGGGTTTATGTTGTGATGGATTTAAAATGATACTTCTGCCTCTTATCGTGTGAGGGGATGACAGAGAACTCCCAGCATTCTCTTCTGGGGAGTGGCAGTGGGTACAACGGGGACTATTGTTCCAGGGCCGATTAATATTAGAGGCAGAACATCTGACCTGAGCCCCAAATCATTGTTGATGGATGTGGTTATATTTAGTGGGTCATTATGTGTATCATCAGTGTTGGGAGTAGGGCATTACAGAGGAAAAGATTTTAATGGTTTACTCGGTACAAATGTCAGTTACGCGCATTACAATTCCTTTTTTAACCTGGATTGGTATGGTGGGTTTTTTGTTTTTCTTTATACAAATTTGCTAAAATCACTGCGATATCAGCAGCGATGAAACGCCATTGTTATGGTTCCAAATGTTGGGACGGGCCTGGATGCACTTTGTTTACACCCTGCCCCACGGGCTCGGGGTTTTCCCAGGGGCAGTCCTAGATTCCAAGTCCTAGTTCAAGATGCTTGTTTTTTCCTTGTTTAGTTCTGATTTAGTCCTGGTTCAGCTCTGGTTTAGACTTTGTTTAGTCCTAGTTCAGGCCTCGGTTTAGTCCATATAAGGTGCAAAACTTCGGTATCTTCGCTCAGTTATTTTGGTGAGAGTAACTTAAAACTGCTGCAATAGTCGTGTAATGTCTTATATTTTAAACACAGTAATATTGTAATGTAACAAATTACTTTGAAATGACAGTAATAAGTCATAAATAAATAAATAATTCATTACAGTTTTGAAGTCACTTGCCCAACAGTGCGTCTCTTTGAAATGTTTTTGAGAGTGTACGGGATCTAAATGTGACGTCTCGTCCTACTTCTGTTTTTTGACGCAAATGTGTTGCAAATTTTGTTGCAGTAGAAATCCTCCCCCTATGCGCACAGAAAACCGACTGATCGTGGAGAACTTGTCGTCCCGCGTGAGCTGGCAGGTTAGTATCACGACACGCTTTCAAACTCCATCCAAACTGCCCTACAGCGCATTTCACACACAAATACCTATGTCAGTGCTGCAGGCTTCAGCTAATATACCTGTCACTATAACCCAAACATTCAATTCAAGCTTATTTTAAGACAACTGCACTGAATCAGAGACAGTTAAGTAATTTACCAGAGACAATAGCAGCAGCATCTATTTTCCAATTTGTCTTTTTGTATTAAATTTTAACCAATTCTTCACCCCTTTATTTGCCAGCCTGACTGTTGTCGCTTATGGTGGAGTTAACCCCTTCTGGGTCCTTCTGTCTGGGTTGAGCCCGTTGCTGTCAGCCAGTGTGTCCTACTACTACTACTACTACTACTACTACTACCGCAGCTACCTAGTTGACGGCCGCTGCTCATATGCAACGCCCCCCTGACCAAAGCAAGGGGGCGCCGGTGTGTGGCTCAGAGCGGTGCTGGTGATGAGAGAGGGAAGCAGAGAGTTGGCAGAGACAGAGAGAGAGTTCGAGGATGAGGATGGTGCTGATGATGATGATGATGGTGGTGATGAAGGTGGCGTTTTGGTTCGAAGGGTTCGTTAATTCGCGGGGGTACCCATATCCGACCCCCGACCACCACACTCCCTCCTCCTCCTCCCCCCCCTCACACATCAGAGAGAGAGAGAGCGAGCGAGCGTGTGTGTTCCTCCGAAGGAAATATGTCTGCCGAGGTTAGCCCGCCGCGTGGCTCTCAAGGTAGTAGTTTCCTCTCTTCCACCCTGTTCACTCTCTTTAAACCGAGGCGGGGTGTCTTATCTAAAGGTACGGACGAGCCCGCTTTTCCCCCCCCAAAAAGGAACCCATGGGTGCTCTTTGGTGCCGTAAAACTGCTGCCCACGGTGGCCCCCACTGCACTGCTATTCCAGAAAGATTGTTGTTGTTCATCTGTGTAGTTCCAACGTCTAAAAATCTCAAAAAAATCCAGCCAACAGCTTCCAAAAAAATCATAATCTAACCTGTTTATTATCACTCTTGGCTGATGAGAGAGTTTTGAGGTTTTTGGACTGTAGATTAATAGTCACAGATACCAACCCATGTTTATTTTAAGTTACTTTTTGCTGAATGAAGCATGGACGTCCGTATTGTCGAAAGCTCACTGAACTCTGTATGTGTAGGACTTGAAAGATTACATGAGACAAGCCGGGGAGGTGACTTTTGCAGACGCACACCGGCCAAAGCTTAACGAAGGGTAAGGCGGTTTGATTTGACTTTTTCATAATATTATCGTGTGTAATATTTCGCTCATGGTCCCGTCTCTGTGGGTCTTTCAGGGTGGTTGAGTTTGCCTCTTACAGCGATCTGAAAAATGCCCTGGAAAAGCTGTCCGGGAAGGAAATCAATGGCAGGAAAATCAAGCTCATCGAAGCTAACAAAGCAAAGAGGTGAGTTTATGTATTTACTCTTAATTAAATTTTTATTTGGACCTTCTGAGTAATTTTATGTGACGGTAAATGCATTTATACCAACTTAACCAAATATAAATGAGGTAATAGTGAGTGTAAGTCAATTTAAGTTCTACAAATCACATCAGAATTGTGTCGGGACTACAACAAGACCAGACAAAACCCCAAGTCTTATTTTAAACTCCACCCAGTCCTGGCAAAGTCACAACAACTGGAGTCTATTCAAGGGATTTTGTCGATATTGAGAGATTGTTTTGCACCAGTAGAAGTGGCTCTACAACAAATTAATTGGAACATTTTCTGAAACCACAAAGTAACCACAAAGTCTGGTGTAGAGCTGAGCGATTATGGGGGCAGAAAAAGAATCACGATTTATTTTTCCCATATTGATTGAGCTCAATTTTCTATTAGATTTTTTTTTTTATTGGAAACATCATAAACATAAACATCGTCATAAAAAGCAGTGTGTCGGGATCACTACAGTTTTTTTTAAATTTTGTGTTGAGTGGACCAATAATCCCGGAGATTAGAATGCGTTTGTACAATATATTAATTAAACTTAATGCATACATGTGTTACAGTTAGCGGCAGAAACGCGTGCAAAGACTGTGCTGACTTAAATTTCACGTATAAAAAGTGAAAAAATAGTCGTTAACTTTCCATAATTTTGGATTATAATGATCAGAAGCAGAAGATTAGAGAAAGAGAGGAGAAAAGATGAGGAGTTGGATCAGAGAGGGAGGCAGGAACACTGAAGCAGAAAAGCAGAGTGGAGGAGACACTAAATCTATAGTCAAATTGTGCAGTATTGAGGCTACGTTTATATGATGACGGTCTGAACAGAAGACACAAAAGTGGCGTCACATTTTCACTTTTTATTCCGCGTTTAGACGAGCATTTTCGGGAGGAAATTGGTAACGCAAAAGTGTGTGGAATTCGATTGCGTATGCATGCCCATCTGACCCGTTTCTGTGTACTGTATGTACGTGACGTAAACGCGTACACGACGTGAGCAGATCTGACCAGAGTTTTGCGTCTTGGGCGGTGTAGACGGAAACACTACGGCGGAGCGTATTCAGCTTTTCCACTCTGGAGGGTGGTTTCACATTTTTGCATTTTTAAGCCCTAAAAACGTTGTCGCCGTCTAAAAGAAAGGCACGTTTTTACCCGCAAGTGTTCTCTCGTAAAGAGGTCCTCGGTCAAAACTTGTGAAAAGTGAGGATTCGTGAGAGAACAGACGTGATGTGGGTCAAAAACAAAAGAGCGTAAATCCTCTTCAGCTCTTACTGACACATGACAATTCAAATGCACTTATCTAGATCAACCAAAGCAGAGATCTTTTTTGGCACAGCTTTACTCTGGTGCATTGTTGGCATGCTATTTGTTAACAGTAATGTGACAACAAAACTCTTCTCTTGCCTCAGAAAGCAATGGAAAGTGCTTATGAATGTGGCGTCTTTATAAATTCGACTTGTAACTAACCCATTGTCTGTTCTTTCCTTCCCAGGTCCAGGAGCCGCTCCCGGTCGGAGAGCTCGTCGCGCTCCCGTTCTCGCTCCCGGGGCCGGTCGGCGTCCCGCTCCCCCCGCCGCTCCCGCTCCCCCGCAGCCCCGCCCCCAAAGCCCGCTCCCCACGCTCCCGCAGCGCCTCCCCCGCCCCCCGAGACTCCTCCCGCACGCCCCCTCCCTCCAAGTCCAAATCCTCCTCGTCTTCGTCCTCCACCAAACGGCAGGCCAAGACCTCCAAGTCCAGCCCGCCCCCGTCCCCTCCCCCGGCCCAGAAAGCCTCCCGGTCTCGCTCCCGGTCCAGATCCAGGTCAAGGTCCCGCTCCAGATCCCGCTCCCTGTCCACCGATAGTCAGCGCTAAAGCACATTTTTCACTTCACGTTTTGATGTGTAGAGTCGACGAAATCCGTGAAGCCGAGCGGACGTTTGAGCTTCTGGTGGGTTTTTCCTGTCTGGATTTTGCATGTTTTAGTACACAGACTCTTGATGGACGGGAGAGGAAATATCGCGTCATTTTTATCGAACCGAAGGACTCAACTTTGCATTTCCAGTTCTTACTTTCACGCGGTTGTTTACTCACAGCGAACGCGGAAGAGAATCTGCCTCCCTAGTTTGCGTTAATTTGAATATTTCGCTTTCAAAGGTTTAAAGCTAGATGCTCTTTTTAAAACTCGGACAGATTTGGTATCGTGTAAAACTGTTCTAATTTTTTATCCGATTTTCGATATCCGCGAGTTACTGTAGCTTCAAACACCGGTATGCGCTCCGCAATATTAAATCTCCCATTGAAAAAAAAAAAAAAAAAAGACCAACTTTCTTTAAACTGCCATTTTTATTTTTAATATTTTTTTGTATTTTTCAACTCTTGATGCAGATCGTTTTGCCCCGTTTTCATCTTAATTTTTTGCTAACTGATGTTTTGTTGCAGATGTTTTGAGTGCTTAATGTGAACAATCTTCTCGGCGTTTATCTGAGGTTATTTTTTGTTTAAAAGCAAAGACGTTTTTGTAAATAGTGATTTTATTTTCAATGCAAAAAATATAAACATTTGTATGGTGACAGTGATAATTATACAAATAAAAAATGGCGAAAAAGTACATGTCTTTGAGTGGTGCTTGTGTGAAATAAAGTGTAGAAATTGTCCAGTCTGCAATAAAAATCTTAAAATTTTGTGTTACGTGGGACAAAATGCATTTTTCTCCCACACGGACATAATGATCACTCCTTAAAACAGCACCTACACACGCCAAACTTTAGTCTTGTACTTTATATTTTATTTCATTAATCTTATTTTAATATGAAAACAACATTACATAATGAAAAACTTGTAATAAATGTATTCTCTTAACATTATGTGACGAAATTACAGAAGAATTTTCAAATGTCTAATCTAAATTTCAGATTTCTTTTCCTATTCACCTGGAGTGCCTTGTGTAAAAACCTGCCACAATCTGCGATTTTCTACACACTTTCACCTAACAGCTCTTCTCTGATAGTCACAGATATCAACCCATTTTATTTATTTTTTGGTGAGTGAAGAATCGATGTCCGTATTGTTGAAGGGTCACTGAATTCTGTGTATGTAGGACGGGGAGGTGACTTTTGCAGACGCACATCGGCCAAAGCTTAACAAAGGGCTCCGGGGGACCTCCTGGGAGATCAATATTCTAGACACTTTGATCTAACAGCTCTTCTCTGACACCCCGACTTCCTGCATCTCTGGGCTGGCAGCTTGGTACACTCCTGCAGAGCAAAAGGTTTAAAGTGAAATGGCAATATCAAAAAATAGCTTGGAGACTGCCTGGACTAAAATACATTGATTCTAAGTCAGTAATCCATTCCCCAAAAGTTTCTGGCCCAGGACTGCAAAAACAAAGAATTTGGGAGAGGGTCATAGTTAAAGACTCATGCAACTTTTTTCCTATAATATAACATGAACCAATGAACTAATTACCACTGTAGAAAGCTGTAGTTTAGAATTGGAAACTAAACTGAAAAATATCATTGGTGAATATCACTAAAGGGAGTGTAGTAGAAGTAATGTTAGAATTAACTCACCCTTTTTGTTCTTTCGTTGTTGCCAGTGCAGATGAGTCCTGAACAGCAGCACCAAGAGCAGAGCCTCACTTAACTGAGTCAATACGTAGGCCACTGGGAAGAGGACCAGAGGGCCCACCGCTTCTGGAGGAAACACCACTTTGATCACTGTCATAGCCAAACCCGCATTCTGGCAGCCGGTCTCCATCGACACTGTGCGGCACTCCCTGAGGCATGAACAAACATGGGTTTACATTTATATTACTTCACCAATGATGAGAAATAAGGATAGCTGCCATATCAGTCTAAGTAGGGACTCCTAGACTTCCTTCACCCCAGACACTTCCTCCAGCTCCTCAAGAGGGACCCCGAGGTGTTCCCAGGCCAGCTGAGTCATAGTACCTCCAGCGTGTCCTGGGTCTTCCTTGGGAACTCCTTCCGGAGGGACATGCCCGGAACACCTCCCGAGAAGGCGCCCAGGAGGCATGTGGAACAGATGCCTGAGTCTCAGCTGCTCCTCTCGATGTGGCGGAGCAGTGGCTCTAATCTGAACTCCTCTCCTGTGGCTGAGCTCCTCATCCTATCTCTAAGGGAGCGCCCAGCCACCCTGACCTGCTTGTATCCACGATCTCGTCCTTTTGGTCATTACCCAGAGCTCATGACCATAGGTGAGGGGCGGAACATAGACTGAGCGGAAAACTGAGAGCTTCGCCTTTCGGCTCAGCTCCCTCTTCACCACAACAGTCAGATACAGCGACCGCATCACTGCCGACGCTGCACCGATCCGCCTGTCAATCTCACGTTCCGTCCTCCCCTCACTCGTGAACAAGACCCCGAGATACATGAACTCCCCCGCTTGAGGCAGGGACTCTCCACCCACCCGGAGAGGGCAAGCCACTTTTTTCCGGTCGAGACCCATGGCCTCAGATTTGGAGGAGCTGATCCTCATCCCTGCCACTTCACACTCAACTGAAAACTGTCCCAATGCACGTTGCAGGTCCTGGTTCAATGGAGCCATCAGGACTACAACAAACAACAGAGATGAGATCCTGTGGTCCCCAAACTGGACCCCCTCCGGCCCCTGACTGCACCTTGAAATTCAATCCATAAATACAATGAACAGAACCGGTGACAAAGGGCAGCATGGCGGAGTCCAACATGCACCGGGAACAGGTCTGACTTACTGCCGGCAATGCGAACACAGCTCCTGCTGCGGTCATGCAGGGACCAGACAGCCATGGAGGGGCTACAGACCCCAGACTCCCAGTGCACCCCCCACAGAACACCACGAGGAACTTCTCCAGATCCACAAAGCACATGTGGACTGGTTGGGCAAACTCCCATGAACCCTCAAGCACCTGATGGAGAGTGTAGAGCTGGTCCAGTGTTCCACAGAAAGGACAAAAACCACACTGCTCCTCCTGAATCCGAGGTTCAACTATCAGCCAGATGCTTCTCTCCAGTCCCCTGGCATAGACCTTCCCGGGGAGGCTGAAGAGTGTGATTCCCCTGTATTTGGAACACACCCTCCGGTCCTCCACCCCGGTCTGCCAGTCCAGAGGTACTGTCGCCGACCCCCACACGATATTGCAGCTGCCACAGTGATTAACAGTTTAAAACATACACTTTGAATGTAGAAAAATTCCTCAAAATCATCTAAAAGGAAGCTGAAACCCATGAATAGGTTGCATTCATGTTGTAGACTCTGATGATTGATGAATGAAAATCATTATGTATTGAGGAAGCGGAGTGGTTGGCAGCTTTTGTGGCTACCTGGCTCACCTGGAGTTTTTTAAATTGTTAGTTTTTTTATCTCAGTTTTTAACATCATCTCATGGGATTTAGCACAAGAAATCAACTGTTGGATTGTGTGAAATGAACTGTTGAATGAACCATGCAAGAGGCTATGTTACAGCTACAGGCTTTTCACACTATATACTATCATCTCAAATATCTTACGGCTGTGTGAGTCTGAAGAGGAGGGAGAGGAGGTATCCAAGGGTGTATCCAGTTATTGGCATCAGGACAGCGATGGCCACGATGGATGGAGCAAGGACGCCCAAGGCCTCGTCTCCATTGTCCAGAATGGTCAGCCCAATCACCACCAGGAAACCGATGGAAGACACGGTCAGACCAGCCTTAAGGAAAGATCGTACAATTGTTTTGTTACTCATTTTCATTAAAGATTCATTACAGTTAAAGGTTGTATAGAGGATTTTCCAAGGAACGAGAAATCCAGTGACTGTTTGTCCTTTTTCAAATGTTGCGCATGCATTTGTCTCGCTCTTGGAAATAAAGTACGTTTTCATAATAAGCAGAAGTGACCTGTCCAGGAGTAATTTGTGGACCAGTGCGTCAGTCTTTAGACCCTGCGTCTGCTTCAGTCGCGCCATCGCTGGAATGAATCTACAAGAATCACTTTAGTTTGGCTTCGCTGCTTTTCCCCTTGTCTTCTTCTTTCAGCGACCTCAAAAACGGACTTTCTTTTGCGGCGAACTGCTCCTGGATTCTTGTCGCCATTGCAACAAACTTTGTGCGAACTGCGAGGAAGACATAGGTCAAAAAAGCCGCTAAGAACTGTTGCGTTGGTGGAGTAAACAGCGTCTGTGCGGCTTGCGTCTGTGGACTGCGTGACAGGCGTACGTGAACCACGTAATGGCGGCGCGCAGGCAAGTCAGTTACACTAGAAACGTAGAGAGATTGATTGACAGCCTGTCAGCTAACAGATAACGAGGCAGTGTCGTTATCTATTGGTAAATGTTTAGCCCCACCACGTCCAGAGTTGATGAATTTTTATTCTCTTTTTTTGGTCATCATAATTACAAGGCTACTGCATCTCTATAACGCTATCATTGACAACTTGAAACAAAAAAAATCCTCCATACAACCTTTAAGAACAAGACAACAATAAATTATAAAAGTCATTTTAATCACATTTGCTTCTAAGCAATGAAAGGTGCACCAATGAACTTTTCTGATAGTGATGGTGGTGGTGTGTGTGTTTACATCTCCATGGGGAGATATTGTGTGTCTGTAGTGTTCCACAATGTGGCCTCCATCAGAGGAGGGGATGTAGTGTGTGTGGCCTGCATTGGACTAAAATAGAACTACAAACACAACTGAACCTGGGTTGCCAAAGGTTTTTCCTCATTCTCACTTTATATGGAGGCCCTCACTGAGCTGTCTTGAGAACTTAAATGCCAAATGATAACAACTTGGACAATGTTTTCTAAGTAAAAATAAAACAATATTACTAGTGTTTGCAGTAAAATAAATATATGATTTGAACATGTACCTCTTGTCTGGGGACACAGGGCATGTTTGAATATACAAATCTTACATACCCAGCCTTTGAGGTTTGGTACATCTAGTGTAAAGACTTGAGCCTCTCTGACCTTTCTGATGAAGTTGGAGTACTGTGGTCTGTAGTGGTTGAGGAGTATTCCAATTCCACATGGGAAAACGATGGTCAACAG